CTGAAGCTGGACTCGCTGGGGTTGGGGTCTTGGAAGGGCTGATGTGTTTCCTGTGTGGGCGGGTCTTCTGGATGCCTGGAGCGGCCCCGAAAGATCAAGGGGATGGGTGTTGGGCGGGCGGTCTCCGCCGGAGACCCAATCTCACATGAAGCTGGACTCACTGGGGTTGGGGTCTTGGAAGGGCTGATGTCTTTCCTGTGTGGGCGGGTCTTCTGGTATGTACCATTTTTTATTTATTTTTCTTTCTTTTATTTTTACTTTTTAACTCATGTCCTTATACTTTTGCCTTTAAATAATTTTCTATATAACTTTATGGTATATGATTCTGTATTATATTTGTATTTTTATGGCAATTCAAAATGCCTTTACATTAATTATGGCTGCTAATATAATCATATTTATTCTATTACCTTGTTTTACATCTTGCCAGCAATGTTTATATCTCCTTTTCTACTTTTTTCTCCTTTTATGTTGACTGATTTTTTTCCACTTGTTTTGAGTTACATATTACATTTTTTTTGTCAGTGGCTAAAAATTTCCCAGGAATCAATCAAGAAGGCATGAAGCAAATGGAAACCCATTTATAAAAATAAGCAACATTTAATATAAGTGACAATAATTTTCTATTTTATAGAAATCAGCCTGAATATATTATTTCAGTAACCACATTATGAACCAAAATAGAGGTAGCACTGTTGGATATATGATGTTCAGTATTGGGTTAAGAAGTAAAAGGTAGCAGATTGTGACTAACTACAATGGTACTACAGGGAATTTCAATCATTTCCAGGCACCTCCTCCAGACTCAGAAAGGGGGCAACACCAGCACTCTTAGATGATGACAGGGAATCCTTTGACAGAGAACATCTCAGAGTGAAGTGTGCTTGCCTGCCACCCATCCTACAGCCTGTCACAGCACACGAAGTCAAAGTCTGGAGTGCACCTGCTGCCCTAGCACACAGGAGAGTGAGTCAGGCAGAACATGAGTTCAAACAAAAGAAAAGCGATAAAGAATGCAAAGGAAACTAAAGAGAAGGCACCAGGCTGAGCTTGTCTATAGATTCAGAGACAGAACTTGGTGAGACTGCTGGCTTGTAGGGATATACTCCCCTGAGGCTGCTCCAAGCACAGGTGGCACCTAGGACATGTACTGTGCTGGGAGCCACCTGCTGAGGAGTGTTACCTGACAGTGAAGAGAAGTTCACATGTAAGATTACTGGAATCTATCCAAAAATGAAAACATTAAAAACATATTAAACATATTAAACAAAATTCTCTCCTGCCCCCCCTCTCTCTCTCCTCTCTTTCTCACACACACACATACACACACACACACACAGACACACACACTCACGGACACACAAAACAAAACACTCAATCATCTAATAGTAAATACAGGATAAAAACTTGGGACAAAAGGCTTCTTGCTGTGGATACTGCTTGGCAGTTTGCCTCTGGAACTTTCCTCTGTTAAAGCCTTCAAGAACATCAGGTAGTAAAGAGTAATCAGTGAAAGAGACTTTCAGCTCTCTCTTCACAAAACCTAAGAGACAATCACAGGTAATGATTACAAAGCTTACTAATTAGCATTAGCATCACTATTGAGAACTTATCTTAACCAATTTAAGTCTACAAAAATTGAGATAATTTTCATTTGCCTCTTTAATATGTACATTATCACTACATATTTTAGCTTTTACCAATTTATTTACTTATTTATGTTTGGTTTTTCGAGATAGGGGTTTTCTCTGTGTAGCTTTGTAGACCAGGCTGGCTTTGAGCTCGCAGAGAACTGCCTGCCTCTGCCTCCCAAGTGCTGAGATTAATGGCGTGCGCCACCACTGCCCTGTAACTTTTGGTATTTTAATCCCATCATGTAGTTATACTTTTTATTCAAGATTTAAATACAAATGGATATTGAGCTCCCAGTATCACAAAAGAGGTAGGCTTTGTTTGGGCTCACAGTTGTGGATAGAGTCTTTGATAGTGGGGGAGTCAAAGTTGCCTGACTGTACCTAATGTCAAGAAGTCCAGAGCTAAGAATCTCTCACGGATGTGCTGAAGGCATTGTTTCCTACATGATTCTCTATTCTAGCAAGTTGACAGCTAACAATTATCATCAAAATAAGTCTACACAATATAGTTTCCATGACAATTTGCTTGTGACCCATCATTCCTTATTTCAGAAATTTACATGTGATAGTTTCTCCTCTCTTCAAATACATATGTAGATTTAAAATTCAGGAAGAGCAATAGTAAACCCTTTTTATTGGAAACCTTTTGTGTTCTTAATTTTTTTCAGGCCATATTTATACAGAGAAAGTAAAGATCGTTAAGGGTATAAATTCTTTTCAACAAGCCAAACATGTACGAACCATGATTATTTTTACCATGTATGTTGTGCCTTCTTCCTGTTTTCATATTTAAATATTTCATATACATTTTATCATTTTTTCTGTACTGCAACTCTTCCCAGTCCCTCTATACTTCCTTACACAGGCTAGTTCGAGTTCTTTCCTTCTCCCTAACTCTCTCTGTCTCATTTTCTAAAAAACAAAATTCCTTAAGAACACTAAATTTGAACAAGGAAAAGACAAACTAGACAAGAAAAAAACAAAAGCACACAAACACGAGCACACACACACACACACACACAGAGAGAGAGAGAGAGAGAGAGAGAGAGAGAGAGAGAGAGAGAGAGAGAGAGAGAGAGAGAGAGAGAGAGAGCCTGAGCATAAGGTCTGTTGTTTTGGAGTGTGGTTGATAAACCCAGTTTCCTCCATTGAAGAAAACTGATTTTCCCTTTTCCCAGCAGGAATAAGTTGCTAATAGCTTCTTCGGTAAGGATGGGACCCTGTGTCCAATCACCTTTTCAGGGCTGGGACTGACAAAATATACTTCCAACCCAACTCTAATCAGAATATGTATGGAAAGATATAACAACCTCATTAGGGAAAAAATCCACAAAGGGACATCCTAATTCTGAACATCTATGCACCCAACTTCTTAATTTATCTACTTAGTATTTTTGTTTTACTTTAAAACTTAAAGTTTAAATACTATTAAATTAAAGGTCCACAATGTCCTAGGTTGTCCAAATTTACCATGTTTACCTTTAAAAACTTATAAAAAGGTTTACTTATTTGTGTTTTCTAATATAGTGTATTCATTTTTGCCTGTATGGACACACACTATGTGTATGGCTGGTGTCCCAGTAGGTCAGAAGAATGTGCTTGATTTACTAGGACTCTGGTTGCAGGTGGTGGTGATCTGCCATACAGGTGGTGGGAACTGAATCTGGGTCCTCAGACAAAAACAGTAAATGCTCCTAACTGCTGAGCCAGGTCTCCAATGCCTGCAGTTAAAAGCTTGGTGAACTGCTCTATGTAAAGACAATGTATTCTATTTCAAAGTGATATAAAAATGATAAACACTGCTTAATTCTGATTCACGTATTGAAACCACAGTTTGTTTATTAGGGATTAAGAAAATTTAAATATTATGCTTTATTTAATAACCACCTTAGGTAATTGTATAACAACACGGGGATTGAAAATGCCTTTCCAGATTATTCAAAGATAATTGCAACTCAATTTCTTTCTCTTTAATTGGGAACAGATTTTAAATCACTTACCAAATGTACTGGCTAAAGTTGTTTTTATTTATTGAAATTTAGTTAATAAATACATGTAATAGCATTTCAGAGTATTTTGTTCCAGAATTACAGTGATTCTAAATTTTAAGGTATGAACAACTAAAACCATAGTTTTGCTTTTTTGTATACTTCATATTGCTCAAATTTCCATAAAGAATAATAACTTAGTAACATGAATACACTATGCTTTAATGTAATTGGAGATACAGTTTTGTAAGAAAATGATGGTCTTTTGCCAAAATTAATTCTGGCGAGCAAGATTGGAATGATATATTAAATTCCAAGCCATAGAAACAGCACCTTAAAATAAGAAACTGATGATTCAAGGTTGGCAGGGTCCCTTTGTTTAATTTAAGAACAAGCTTACAAGCTGGCCATAATGTTGGAGCATTAAGAATTCCTTCTTTCAAAATGTTCCCAGAGCTTTAAAATGTAATGGGAATATCAAAATCATGATGGAGAGTTACAGTCCTGGGACATTATTTAGACATGCACTTTGAGTACACCAATGAATGTGAGCCATATATGATAATAACAGCAATTGTAAAAGCATAGAGATAATTTCTTTCTGAAAAATATTTGCTTGGCTCTTTATTTTTTAAAATGAAATGTTCATATTTTTATACGTGTTAATCATTTCTGTACTTGTTTATACTATGTTAAGAACACGTGTTAATGTTTAAAGATAGCCTCAATCCTTCCAAATTTGTGAATTCAAATCACTTTATTAATTCCTGTCCTTGCCATCTCACTCTTCTCTTGGTAATTTGGATGATTCTTGTTATCAGTTTGTAATTTGAAATTATAAACTTCCTTCATAAAAACAGTGGCACTCCTCAGCACTACTCAAGACTGTTAGGCTTGAAACACTTGAAAATTAAATAGTACCGTTTCCTATGCATTTTTTCATGAAGAAACAAGTACAGGCTCTAACGTAGCATCAGCTGTCTGCTGTGTCTGTTTTATTTCACAAGCTAGTAACTCAAGGAAAAGGAAAAGGTGAATGAATAAGTCAGAAGGAAAATATGTGATGAAATAAATTTTCTGTGAAGAGGCACATTGGGAGAAATTGCTGAGCTGTGGGCATCAGCTTTGAGGATTTAAATGACAACCATTATTCTTCAGTCATAGAATCCAAGTGTGTGTGTTTGTGTGTGTGTGTGTGTGTGTGTCTGTGTGTGGGTCTGTGTGTGAGTGTGTGTGTGTCTGTGTGTGATGTATTTCTATAGTTTACTGGAAATCATGTAGACCAACACTAATGCAATAAAAGTTAGAAAACTGACTAATGTATATGGTGAGATTTTTGAAACCTGACTTAACCTAATAAAATATCATTTTATTGTAGAATGTGAATGATGAGCCTCCTGTTTGTACACCACCACATTTAGAAATTCAGACGTATGCCAACTTTAGGGGTCCTTTAATTCGCCTCAATTGCTTAGACAAGGATTCTCCACAGGATCATCTAAGCTATTCCATCACAGGAGGTAAAGAGTGTGAATTCAAATTGTTTACTTCCACGCTGTTTCATATGATTTTCACATCATATATTTTACACTGCTGGGGACATATCATAAGACATATTTTAAACAAAAGCTTAAGCAAGTATGGAAATAAGCATTCATACTCCAGTTCCCATTGTTTGATTATCTCATGATTCTTAGGAAACACAAATAATCAGTTCACACTTTGGAGAGAAGGCACTGAGTCTCCATCACTGGCCACTGGGCAGAATTTCCAGGATTATCTATTTCAAGGAATTCAAGATGGAGTGACGTTCCAGTTACTTATTGAAGTCACTGATGAATTGGGTGAGAATCCAGTTAGTCAGTTGACCGCCACTACTACAGTCATAATTCATGTGCTTCCCTGGACCACAGCACAGCCAACTTCTTCCAGAGAAACAACTCCAACTACAGTAAGTAAAAGCAGTGACCTGAAATTCTCAAGGCATTTGAATTAGTCATACTCACACAATTCTCATAGGATGTATCCTATTGTTTTGGCATTAAAAGACATGAAATGCAAGAATTACTGTAATATAGTTGAATTCTCATCCTAACAATAAAGGAAGTTGCTAGCCTCCAGTGTTGGAATAAGTCAAATGTATCAAACATAATCAATTTTGTGGTCATTGCTTCTTAGAATCCCTAGTAGTTCTTTTCGTTTTTTCGAAACAAGACTTATTTATTTATTTAATGTATAGTGGGGCTTTGCCTGCATGTATGTCTATATGATGGTATCAGATCCCCTGGAACTGGAGTTACAGAGAGTTGTCAGCTGTCATGTGCTTTCTGGGAACTGAACCCAAGACTTTGGAAGAACAGTCAGTGCTCTTAAGAGCTGAGCCACCTCTCCAGCCCCAGTTTTTGTCCAGTTTTATCATAGTGTGTGTTTTTTTCTGTTTAAATTATTACACAGGAATAATGTATTATGGTAAAAGTGTAATTTTATGCTGAGAAAAGATATTTGGCAGCTTTCTCTTTTCAGAAGCATTGTGGGTTAGGATTGTAGTATATGCATTTTGAAGAAACATAAGCATTTAGTCCTTAACACATTTAGCTTGTTATAGTTTACAAATATTTCACAGTGTCAAATTATGGTACACTTGTTTCCGTAGCTGAGCCTGAAAATAAGGTAAGTTTTCCTAGTACATCTTTAGTTCTCCATTGTAGAGGAAAATAAAAATGTAGTTTTTAAAAAATTATTCATATTTTCATGTAAAGAAAAGAAAACTTCTCAAGGAAAAAGGCATCAAATATTCCAGAGAGAATATAATAAATCCCAAGGACGTGATGGTACAAGCTATTTTCTCTTTCAGGACAAAGAGGGTAGTGGGTGTAGCTTAGTTAGAAAGAGGAAGATCATGCTTAGTAGATATGTCAACTCTTGGAACACAGGATGTCTTGAAGCTGAAAGGTGGGATTAGGAAAGACCTGAAATTACAACCATTCCATAGTAGAGAAGACAAATCCATAGTGTTTGGTAGACTTTAATAATATTCAAATAAAGAAAAACGTTGATGTGGTAGAATTGATTTTTGTATGACTTAATACAAGACAAATTAAAGCATCCAAGTCCCTATGCATATCTATGATCCTACTAACATATCTTTCTTGCTGCCTATGTAACAATGCTAACTCAAAGAGACACACTTGAGATTAAATAGCCATTTTTGAATAAGTTACAGAAAATATTTCTAGACTTTATAGTTAAGTTTTTGTTAGACATAGAAAGACACAATAATCCAAATTTTAATATTATAAATCTAAAGGAAATAGAATTTTGATGACTCAGTATTAACCTTTCTCCCAACTGTTTATTAAAGTGTTAGTATAAACACCTTGACTTTTCTTCCCATAAAGTCTTTGTATATTAAATCGTTTCAGTCATTGACTGAAACTCTATTTTCTGCTTCAGGGATTCTAGTCATAATCCATCTGCTTCAGGGATTCAGTCATAATCCATCATTTATAATTTTAAATATGCATATTCTTCTGGACATCAGCAATTAGTTTTCAACCTCTCTGCTTTCCCCAGGATATATATTCATAGAATTTCCACATTTATCGAGTCATTTTATAAGTCAGGCAAACATTGCAAAAAACCCATCTTGTTGTTAATGTGGTCAGATGTTAATGTAGCATTCCAAAGAGTGAAAATGCATTGTTGTTCCTTCCTGGGTCAATGTGAACCTCACATCTTTGTTCTGAATCATTCTGCTCTAATGGAATCTTCTCCTCTGTGGGAAGTTATTTTAGCCTACGTTGTTATTGGGGGTAAATACGTCCCTCACAATTATATTTATACCCAAATTTCTGTCGTCCAAATAGCTGAAAGCAAAATCTAGCAATGCAGAAGCCATTATAGTAAAATGCAATAGGTAAAATAATCAAGTTCTGCACCAAAATGTACGAGAATTTTTTTTAATTTGTAGGAGAGCTAAGTGGTATTTTAATCCATATACTTCCCTTGGCAATGCACATTAGGCTTTCTAAATGAGACAGGGCAATTAAAGCTGTCTGGGAATGATTACTACCTTGTGACCTACGAAATCAATTCTACTAAATAAGTGATTTCTCCTACAAGCCATATCAGTGTTAATGTTTGTATGTGTACTTGCATAATACGTATATATCCACAGGGAGATATGCGTACTTCTCTTTGTGAGAAGTGTTACAAAACCAGAAATGACCCAACAAACTCTGCAGTACAACATGTTTATTATAGAGGAAGAAAAATGCTACTTAGACAATTCTAACTTCAATATGCTTGCTAGGTAATGAGTAGGCATATAGGTAAAAGCAACTACATGTTGTAAAATAGTTTTATAAAAGAGAATACTTCTAAAGGTTTGTTAAAAGAATCACAGACTAACTACTATTTCATTTTAAGTTATATTAAAAACATCAGATAAAGTCCACCTGTGTCTTTATCTGTCTGTTTATTCACTGCTTGAGCAAACTTTGGGCTAGCTGCGCGCATACAATGAGAAACAAGTTAAAGAATAACAGAAAATTATATACTTCACTAGAAATGGCTTCAATAGTGGACAGTTGTATTCAGAATTGTATCATACTCTTATGGAAACATTTTGAAACATGTGCCAACCAAGAAATGTATAGTGACTTTATTTTCCATTATGGAGAGTCTACAGAGCAGTCATGAGGTACTTGTGCCAGACACAGTGTTTCTGTGTTTGATAGTGTTTAGTAAGGGCACACAGAATACTAAGTGGATATTGGCAGGTTATAGAAGAAATGCCCATAATTGCAATTAGTCATTTATAGTAATGAACTAGATGAAGGAGAGTGGAAGATAAGACTTTTGTGTAGAAATGCATTGATGCATCAAAATATATTTATGAAATATTTTATGCATTTTCTATAAACAAGTCAAAGAATATGAATATAGTACATCACTATTATAAGCTATATCTTTATTATTATTAAAAAGCACATCTTTCTACTTAGTATGTTGAATTAGATACGAAAACTTCAAAACATTTCTAAGTGGTCAAAGTACACTTCTCAAATACTATCTGATTCTAAACTACAACTGCAAAAAAACATTATAAAAATAGAACATTTTCAGACCAGATTGCTAAGAATGTGTGCTTGTGAATTTCAGAGAATAAAGTCCTAATGATAAAAAGCTTAAAGCAATTAAATTTTATTCAATATTATAAATACTGTAGGGTACATCTTCAGCCTGAAACTCACTACAGATAAAGAGAGAGATCAACCACAGCTTCTTGTAACTTTTGGAAAAATATATAGGACTTCTCAGAAATTACAATGTATTAAAGACATTCCAGAGACTTCTGCATATTTTACAGTGCAAAGTATGGTACAAGTATGGCCTAAAGACCAATGCCATGTGTTATGAGAAAAGTATGTGGCACTTTTTAGTTGGGAAAGGTGGGGGTTCATGAACTATTGCAGAATCTGATGATATCTTTGTTCCCTCTATGCAGAACAATGCATGCGTGTATACAATTTTATATTTCATTTCAGAGACTTGTAAAAAAATCATCCATGGAACCCAGATTTAAATACCCCGACTAATAACAGCAGCATATCTCTGCCTGTGAATTTGTAAAAAAAAGTGTTTTCAGGAACAAATCTATTCCCCTTGGTACAAAGTAAACAAAGAAGCCAGGCTATAGAGCCCCTGAGAACACTATAAAACACTCCTTAAACATGGTTGCACTTGGGAAGATACACATTAGAATAAGTAACACAATTACTGAAGGGAAAGAAGCAAGGTGGAATCACTTTAACTACAGAAAAGCTTAGTTAAAAGGCTAATAACCAAAGAGCACAACCTGATGAACTGATGAAAATAAACAGAACCATTGTAAAGGGTCTCGTGTTCACCCCATGCCTCGTCACTCAGAGCCTTCTCAGAACAGGTAGAGAAGAAGAGAGACACTAAGTCATCTTTCAAGAACTGAATTAAATTCTTCAACTTCAGTGTATGTTGTCTAAAGAGACAATGAGGTAACTGGCTAGACACTATTTCCTGCAAATACAATTCCCCAAAGGAATCATGAATCAAAATTCCAGAGACTCTGTGCAGCAAATTGAGACCATAATAAAAATTCCAGGACTAATGTCTATTTTGACAGTAGGGATGATGGTAGAAACTTTAAATCATCCCCAATTGTAACTATGGTTTTTATTCTTATTTCAACATAGTGCATAGAAAGGAGAATGTCTGTAAATAACTCTGTCCAGCCTTTTCATCAGTTCTGCTGGGGAGCGCATCCATATTTCCTGTGCATATCAGTATAATGAAAAGGCTTTTATCTTATCAGTGCAGAACTGATACAGAGAGACGCAAAGTGCAGTACTTTTTTGACTTTACGGAATCTGAACTTTGAAAATGCATACCATGGCTATCCTATTTACATCTCGTGCTGCATTCTTGCTTCCCTACTGTGTTCACTGACACACTATTTTTTCGAGACTAGTTTCTGCATCACCAAAAAACAACAACAACAGCAACAACAACATGACTATTAATATGGATCTCAGAAACTACTTTGCAATAATATCCTTCTTCTGAGAAGTCTTTGGGAGATAGAAATTTAAAAAATGAATCACAGTGGAGACGCTTGCATCTCAGCAGCAGACAAACGTCACATAACAGGATTTTTGCTTTACTTTGCCTTTTTAGAGTTGTTCTATCAGCATGTTCTCAGACTCATCCATCAGATTCATTTATCATTTTTTTTCTTGTCTTTTTGAGACGGGGTTTCTCTGTGGATCCCTGGCTGTCCTAGACCTTACTCTACAGATCAGGTTGGTCTCAAACTCACAAAGATCTTCATGCCTTTCCCTCCCGAGTGCTGGGATTAAAAGTGTGAGCCACCATTGCCTGGCATATTCTTTAGGGAAGTAAAACATAGAAAAC